GGTTGGTGAGTTTGGGTATATGTGTAGAAGAGAATAGAATAGAAAGCCACCAGCTTTCTATGCGGGTGTTGCTGAGTTGCAGAGTACTTGCCTAACATGTATGAGGCCCTGGGTTCAATCACAGTGTGGTGGTGGGGAGAAAGTTGAGTGCAGTGACACCTACTTGGGAAGATGAGGTGGGATGATCACTTGAGCCAAGAAGTTTGAAACCAGCCAGGTTATTAATAGAGTGATTCCCAGTCTCAAGGGGGAAAAAAAAAGCATTAGGGGCCCAGATATGGGATTCTCATAAGTGTTTATTTCCTTTAAAAGGAAAAAAGAAAACAGAAAAAGGCCTAATTCCTCCTTTACCCTTTCAGGCAAAGTGATTGGAAAGAATGGGAAAGTGATCCAGGAGATTGTGGATAAATCTGGTGTGGTGAGGGTTCGTGTGGAAGGTGATAATGACAAGAAGAACCCCAGAGAGGAGGTATGTGCAACTAGGCCTAGAGATTGGCTTCCAGAAGTAGGAGGGATTATTTTCTGAGGGCTTGTTATTTGCAGAGGGTGGAACACAAATTTTTGTTTACCCCTAGTAGAATTTGATCTCATTGGGTGGGCTCCCCTGGGAGACCAGGTGGGGTTAATATTGTCTGCTCTCCTTTCTGATCCATCTTTCCTTCTCTCTGCTCTCCAGGGAATGGTTCCCTTCATATTTGTTGGCACCCGAGAGAATATTAGCAATGCCCAGGCGCTGCTGGAGTATCACCTCTCCTACCTGCAGGTAGCCATGCTGAAAGCCCAGGAAAGGAGCAGACTGCGTACAGCAAGGGGCAGGGAAGGAGTTCTGAAGGATAAGCTTCAGAATTGGGGTTCCCCATCTGTCATTTTTCATTCTTAGTACTGGGGATTTAACCTAGGACTGTTCTACCACTGAGATACATACCAGCCTTTTATAAATTTTTCATTCTGAGACAGGGTCTCACTAGGTTGCTCAGCTGGCCTTGAACTTGGTGATCCTCCTGCATGTGTCACTGTCTACAAAGACCCAGTTTGTCTTTGTAGAACAAGAACCATTGGTGGAAATTTTGACTGTGGGGTTAGATTCCCAAATTTTTCTTATTCAGCCAGCATCTTCTTTCTCTTTGCATTCCTGAGAGCTTAGCTATGTAGGAGAAGCATGAAAAAAGGGAATTGTCCACTGATCTTTTTCCTTCTTCCATTTCATCTTCCATCTTCTTTCCAATCAGGAGGTGGAGCAGCTTCGCTTGGAGAGGTTGCAAATTGATGAACAGCTTCGCCAGATTGGGTTGGGCTTTCGCCCTCCTGGGAGTGGACGGGGTGGCAGCAGTGATAAGGCTGGCTATACCACTGACGAGAGCTCCTCCTCCTCTCTGCATACAACAAGAACCTATGGTGGCAGCTATGGGGGCCGGGGCAGAGGCCGCAGGACCGGGGGTCCTGCCTATGGTAAGGCACATGTGGATCCAGTGGGGAGAGGCAGTGGGCTGGGTGGAAACTTGGAGACTCAAAGTCATGATTAAGAGATGATTGGCTGGGGGGCTTGTGAGGGAGAGGAAGAACTCTTCCAATTTTCAGGCTGTGATGGATCTTGGGGTGGGATGAATGGCCCTGAATAGATGTCACTGTGTTCTTCAGGCGCCAGCTCAGATCCTTCCACAGCTTCTGAAACTGAATCAGAGAAAAGAGAGGAGCCCAGCCGAGCTGGGCCTGGTGACCGGGATCCCCCAACCCGGGGGGAAGAAAGCCGGAGGCGGCCGATTGGGGGCCGGGGTAGGGGACCCCCACCTGCTCCCCGGCCCACCTCAAGATACAACTCTTCATCTATTAGCTCAGGTACCACAGGGTTGGTGTCATGAATGTGGGCCAAAAGGAAAGACAAATTTCACCTGACTCCTCATCCCTTTCCTTTCTCTGACCAGTGCTGAAAGATCCAGATAGTAATCCTTACAGCCTACTGGACACATCAGAACCAGAGCCCCCGGTTGATTCAGAGCCTGGGGAACCACCCCCAGCAAGTGCCAGGCGTCGCCGCTCCCGTCGCCGCCGCACTGATGAAGACAGGACTGTCATGGATGGAGGCTTGGAGTCTGATGGGCCCAACATGACAGAGAATGGCCTGGGTGAGGGGCCTGAGAAGTCAGAGATGGGGTGGAATGAGGGATGGGAGAATGGTTGTATGATTTGTTCTCCTGTACCCCACAGAAGAAGAATCAAGACCCCAACGTCGTAATCGCAGCCGTCGCCGCCGCAACCGTGGTAACCGGACTGATGGGTCTATTAGTGGAGACCGCCAGCCAGGTCAGCAGGCACTGCAGGCCAGTAGCCCTTCTAGAGCCTAGAATGGGCACATCCTGCCCTGTGTGAAGATTAGGGTTGGGTTTAGTGGGAATCCTGGGGTTGAATACCCAAGTTCCTTCTGAAACTTGATCTTCTGCCTTTCCCAGTGACTGTGGCTGACTATATCTCACGAGCAGAATCCCAGAGCCGCCAGCGGCCACCATTGGAACGCGCTAAACCCTCAGAGGATTCTCTTTCAGGACAGAAGGTACGCAAGCCAGATGCAGCTTACCCCCACTCTTTTTTATTCTAGAGCGGGGGACACACAAAATTTCCCCCCCAAAAAATCTCTTAATGAATTTCTGAGGTGTCTGTGTCTGATGGAGTTTAGGCTGCATTGAGAATAGTGCAGAGTTGGAACAGAACAGAGAGAAAAGTATGGCTTGCGATGAGTGAAAAGAGTGAAGATGGGGAACCAGCCCCTGGTGTGTGGAGGGCTTAGTGGGAGGGGATGCCTATACCTGGACTTCTACTAACCATCTGCTTTCCTTTCTGTTCATTTTCTTCCCTACTTCCCCCTCAGGGTGACTCTGTCAGCAAGCTTCCTAAGGGCCCCTCAGAGAATGGGGAGCTCTCTGCCCCCCTGGAGTTGGGTAGTTTGGTGAATGGGGTTTCATAAAACCTCCAGCCTGCATCCCTCCCTTCTCCATCTCGCTTGCTGCCCACCACCATGGCCCTCACTGGCCCAACTGACCTGCGCTGGAGCTGCTCTTATCTAGGGGGGAGGGGGGTGGCACAGCAGCTTGGGTCCCCCCCAACCTCCAGGAGCTAGTGGAGGGGTGTGTAACAGGGTCATACCCCCTCCCTCTTGTCCACCCTACCCCCAGGGTGAGGGGAGCCTCCCCTTCCTCATCAGACTGGATGTGCCTTTATCCTCTAATGCCCCAACCTCTGAACACCCCCATTCTCCGCCTGTTGGTGGGGGTGCTCCTTGACCCACCCAGATTTGACATTTCAGGGGGCTCCCCTGCTATCCCTCCTCCCATCCTGTACCCCCATTTCTGGGGCCTCATCACTGTGGAAGACGGGGATAGTAAGGGTATCTGTGGGTGGGAGGCATGGGGAAGGTTTTGGAGTAGAACCAGGGGTATGTATGAAGGGGGGGTGACAAGGTCCCCCAGAGGGAGGGGGGACCAACCTTGTCTGGTGGATGAGAAGGCGTATTTATTTTTCACTGTACAGTATTTAAAAAGAGAATAAAAAAAAAAAAAATCCAAACGGCTCTGTCTCCTATGTGTTCCTTGTCCAGAGTTTGGGTTCATTTGATTCTCTAGTACAGACCTGCCTTGGTCCCTGGCTCTTATTCTCTAATCCTTTACAGTTGGTTTCTCATTCCAATTTCTAGCATTCCTAAATTCCCCAGCCCCAAGGTACCCTCCTGGTCCAAGGGGGTGGCTCAGGGTGCTGCTCCCTCCCCCCCCCCCCCATAGCTGGTAGAGGGAGTTGGGCCACTCCTGTGTCCTGAGTCACTGTGTGGGCTAGGCAGGGCTGCTGTGCTCAGAGCTGGAGCTGTTCCTGTTCCTGCTAGAAGCTGAGAGCCAGGATAGGCTGCTTAATCCGATTACCTGAGGCCCAGGGCGTGGGCTGGGCGCTAGGCAGAGTGGGGAGCCTCTGGAACTCAGGGGTGCAACCCTCCTTGCTAGCTGGTCTTTTGCACTGGCTCCAGCGGGCATACCTCTCAGCTCCTGGGAGCTATCCCGGGTTTCCTTCCCACCCCCAACTGGTTTTGAGGATAAAACTTGCTGTAATTCAGTAGCAGTGAAGAAATCTGGGGGCTGGAAATGGGAGGGCTTGAGTTTTCTCACCTGGAGAAAAGGGTTGAATCATCACCCAAGCACCTGCTGGAATGACTCAGGAAACAAAAATGGCCTACCTCCCTTTGACTGCCTGACTTTCTTGCCCCAGGGGCAGGTCAGGGTTTGAGGAGAAATAGGCATCAGAAAAGGGATTTGGGTGGGGAGTGGGACTTCCCAAGTTTCTCTAAGCATAACTCTGACCCTGAGGGTTTCTGATGCCCAGAGCGCTTGACCCCATTGTGGAAATGAATTGACTTCAAATTGTCAGTGCTTAAAAAGGGAGGGGAGGTGATTTGTAGAACTGGGGCTGGAAGGCCTGACATCTAGGCCTTGGGTGGGGAGTGGGGTGTGGTGCCCAGAGGGTAGGTATTGGAGCTGGGAAGAAAAGGACACCTGGGTTTGCCTAATGGAGGGGGATGTTGGTACGGCCTCTGGGAGGGATTGGGGAGGAGTCAGCTTTAAAAGCTGTTCCTGAACCTGGCCTGGGAGACTTACGGCTGAGTGCAGGTGGGATAGGTCTGCAGCATCTCGGCCTCCTGTGTCTGGTAGCTGACAACTACAGAGCAAAGGTTTACTACCTCCACCCTAATACCGGACCTTCATTGCAGAGGGTAAGGGAAAAAGAACTGGAAGGTGGGGGACTTGGAAGCAAAAAGGAAAGTAGAGCAATTCTCCAGTATAAGGGTGCCAAAACCAGTGGATTGTGTGCTTGACTCCCGAAAGTGTGCCAACTTGGGAGCAAAAGCTCCATTTCCAGGGCTTCGGAGTCGGGAGTAATATCTATCTCGTTAAAGGACTGGAGATTCTTCATCACGACTTACGATAGAGAAGACACTTCCATTTAAGGGTCTTACCTTTATTTTGAGAGGGCATTCAAGACACCCTCTCAAGGTTTCCCCTGAACCCATGGCACTGCCCTGCTCTTCACAGGCCCAGGCCTGGAGCCTAGAGCCTCCCGCATGCAAGACCTCTACCATCTCTGCTACCTCCTCGTCCTCGGGGCCTCAGGAGCGAGAGGGTGCCAAGAGTCCTTTGGTGTCCGCGAGTCTTCCCTTGGAGAAGGTGAAGCGGCCCATGAATGCGTTCATGGTGTGGAGCTCCGCTCAGCGCCGCCAGATGGCGCAGCAAAACCCCAAGATGCACAACTCTGAGATTTCCAAGCGCCTGGGTGCACAGTGGAAGCTGCTGGGTGAGGACGAGAAGCGGCCCTTCGTGGAGGAGGCCAAGCGGCTGCGCGCCAGACACCTGCGTGACTACCCCGACTATAAGTACCGGCCTCGGCGGAAGACCAAAAGTTCTAGCACTGGCAATGCCCACTTCAGCCCTGGAGGCAGTGGCCTGGCCTGTGGGGTCCCACTCTGGGGGCCGGGTTACACAGCCACCCAAGGGAGCAGAGGCTTTGGGTACCAGCCCCCCAACTACTCAACAGCCTACCTGACTGGCAACTACAGGTAAGTGCTTGGGAAGTGGGTTGAAGAGCCTTGCAACCCCCTCTTAGGACCTGGGTCGGGGCAAATGCCAGAGGGCTCTACTGGAGGAGGCGGTTATCCCAGCAAAGGCCACTCCCCTTAGAAGGCTGTGTGTCTTCTGTGAGTAAAGTGTGGGTGGGAGCGTCCTGGTGGCTGGGGTTTTTGCTGGGGACCTTATCCATCTCACCTTGGAGGTGGTGGTGGCTTTGCAGGGGCAAATGACAGACCTTTGGATGTGATGGTGTTATCATTATCAGAATGCCCCATTTCCCCCTGCTTCTGGCCGGTATGTGACCCGGCTTCCTCTCCCAGCCCCCAGGGCAAGGAGAGGCCAAACCTAACCTGCCGCTTCCTGGCCTGCTGCCCCAAAAAAGGAAAACAGCCACACAGCACGCAAACCGGCTTGTGAGCATGTCCCAACAGGGCTGCACTGCTCTATAAGCCATCCTAGGTTCTGGTTCCATGCCTGCTGAACCCAGAGTGGCTGAATGGGTGGCAAGCTCTACCTCTGTCTGCTCACAACTGGTCAGACTAGTCCCCACATAAGAGTTAGGGACACTGCCCAGACCCTCCAATCAGGGAAGCAAACTCTAATCCCTGCCCCCCATTTCTCTTTACAGCTCTCCCCATTGTAGACCGGAGACCCCCTCGCCGAGTTCTCTCCCACAGAGTGACCCTAGGCTCCAAGGGGAGCTGCTACCTCCCTATAGTCCCTACCTACCCCCAGGTTCTCCCACTCCATACAATCCTGGTGCCATGCCCCTGACCCACCTGTAACTCGCATGGACACACACCTCCCATAAGGGCTGCATTCTCCTTTCCTCCAATCCAGAACAATCCCCTACCCACAGGCTGCAAACCTTTTCCTGGGTTGGACTACAGTTCAGAGATTTGCAGTTGTCCCAGAAAGCAGAAGCAAAACCACACTTAACACAGTTTTGTATGATTAAACAACTTCTCTGTCTTTATTGTTCCATTTGTACTCCTCTCACTATAGTAGGAACCAGTGCCATCTCCACTCCCTTCCGCCTGGACCTGCCAGAGCAGGAACCTCCTCACCCCACCCTGGGGCCCTGCCTGAGTCATTCTGTCCCCCTTCCCCCACCCCAGCACTGGGGTCTAAGAGGTAGTCCAAGCCAGGCTAGGGGAGGGAAAAGGCCCAGCCACAAGCCCCCAGTTCCCTTCATCCCACTGTTCAGGTTCTGTCCTCTAGGGCCAGAAGGGAAGAGGGTTGGTGGGAGGGCAGGGTGAGACATTGCCCCATAAGGAAACAGCTAGAAACTGTTGCTAAAGAAACAATCTCAGCCAATTAAAAAAATGACTGAATAGCACATGTACAAGATTTGGAATGGTACTTTAATATCAAAATGTCAGCATGAGAGACTACCACTGTCCTCTTTTTTCTAAAGATCTGGTTCCCACTACCTGTTTTCACCGAAAACAGACTCTGGCTCAGGAAGTTGCAACTGCAAAGGAATGGAAAATGATTAAAAGTCACATCAACAGACTAGCTCACATGGGGAGAACCCTGAGGTTGGGTGGATGGATGGAAACACAAAATGACTCCCAACTCAAACAGCTGGCTCAACCCTATTCCTCCTTTTTCTTCTTGTGGGGAGGTTTTGTGTTCCAGTACAAGAGGACCTGGGCAGCAATGAGGCCATTGCAGAGGGAGGAGATCACAAAGATTCCAGCCATGAGAAGGTCTCCGGTTTCCTGGTTGTAAAGGACAGAGAAGGCCACCCTTCAGCATAAATCAAGAAAGGTTCCCCTAAGGACAAAAGCCTCAGGGGGCAACATAAGTCTCCAGTGGAGAAGGGTAGATGAGGTTAGAGTGCCCTCTGGAGGGCAGAAAGTGCACTTACCTGAATGGAAGTGAATATTCGGGCCAGGGAACCCCCAAACAGTAGAAAGACTGTGATGGCCGAGAGCTGGCCTGTGTGCCCATTGTGGTAGTTGGTGGCTGCCTGGAGCAGCTAAGGGAGGTAGTCAAGACTGTTGGTTCTGTCACCTGAACTATTTCCCATGTTCTTGTCACTAATTTCTCCATTCCCCTCAGTGTGACACCCCCACTTTTCTACTCTGCCCTTAACCCGCCCCCCCCCCTCCCCCGCCGCCCGCCAAGGCCTTATTCCCAGTACCCACCTTTCCCACCACCACAGCAGGTACATTGGAAGCCTGGAGCAGGGTAATCACTACCAAGGGTGTGAGTGGTGACAGCAGGACCAGCAGGACCAGTGCATAACAGGCTAGGAAAGCTACTCCTGGGGGTGGAGAAAACAAGGAGTCATCATCGACCTCTGTACATCCTTCAGTTTCCCCAGGCTTATAATTAGTAGGGTTCCCAAGAGTTGCAGCCTATTCCTGGCAAATTACCAGCACCTTTCACAGTCTGTCCTCTGTAGTGCATGATCAGGAAGCAGATGGTGATCGTCTGGAGCATCAGGAACAGGGCTTCACCCCAAGAGCTGCAGAGTCAAGAGTTGGGAGGAAGAAAGGAGGGCCTAGAAAGAGGCAGGGAAGACCTCCATGGCCCATCCATCTAGGGACACAATTTTCTGATTACTTTGTCCTCTACAATCCCATCTCATTTGGAATCCTGGGCATTCTTGTGATGCTCACTTTTCTCTCATCACCTCCGTGGGTGATAACTAGATTTTTGGAAGGGCTTCAGCCTTTCTACCCCTTTGCCTTCCTCATCTTAACTCCCACTAGAGCTGTGGGCAATTACCCTTGGGGATGAATGGTGGACCCCTCACCTGAAGGGGAAGTTGTTGGTGATGCTGTAGACCATGGTCCCAGTCAGTGCCACTAGCTCCAGCATTACTGACTGGAGACTCAGCCCTTCTGCACTCTTGGCTCTCAGGATTTTAAATACCTGGGGCAGCTTTACTGAGGAAAGGATGAGAAGGGCAGAGTTGAGAAGCCTCCACCCCTTGGTAGCATGATACAACAGCTACAGAATGGACTGGGAAGCACAGTTAACCCCACTTCCAGTTAGGGGACCCATGCAGTTTATGACCTTTCAGCACCTCCACCCCAACCTTGACAGCAGTTATGATACATACCAAGAAGTGACCCAGCCACAATGGCCAGCCCAAGGCCTTTGCTGAGAAGAATTTTGAGACAGGGAACTGAGAAAAAAAAAAAAAAAAGATGCAGAGAAGTCCTCTGGAACTCAAGTCCAAGGAGTGCTCCAGTGGGCTGTCTCCTTCCCCACCCCTCACCTTCACATGTCCACAAAAATAAGTTTGATCTGGAGATGAGGCAAACAAAAAAGGCAAAGGAATGGAAAATGCTCCAAACCATTTCCTATTTGTACTAGGGACTTTCCAAAACAGCTTTCTACCATAACACCTTCCCTCCCACCAGTTTTTCATTCTCTTTCTACAAATTAACAGCTAAACTCCTCAGCTTGATTTCCAAGGATCTCCACTGCTTCTCTCTCCAAAGGCAGGTCTCTATACATACCCATTCTTCAAGATCTTTATTTTATGTGGTGCTGAGGATCAAACCCAGTGCCTCATACATGCTAGGAACCTCAGCCCTCTATACCCATTCTTTTTTTTTTTTTAGTGTAGTTGGACACAATACCTTTATTTTTATGTGGGGCTGAGGATAGAACCCAGGGCCTCCCATGTGCTAGGTGAGCGCTCTCTCCTGAGCAACAACTCCGGCCCCATACACCCACTTATTCTCGAACCCTGATTATTCCTGACCACCCTTCCTGGGCCTAATTTTATGCTCTAACTATACACAACTTCTCTAGCACTGAAGTCTTCCCCCAGGAGCTTGGTCCAGCGGGATTCATTCTTTTGGTGCGGGATTGAACCCAGGGGCCCTTAGCTACTGAGTCACATCCCACAACCCCTTTTAAAATATTTAGAGTCAGGGTCCCGCTGAGTTGCTTAGGGTCTCGCTAAGTAGCTGAGGCTGGCTTGGAAATCTCGACTCAGCCTCCCCAGTCGCTGGGATTACAATCTCACTGATCCTGAGTGCACTTAGCACAATGTCCTGCAAGCACTAGGGAGGTTCCATGAACTGACAGGAGCAGATTTAGAAAGCTTCCCAGAAGGGAAGGCTGAAAGGAGAGTAACTGGGGTGCCAGGAGCCTTTGGGTGCTGAAGACCTGATTCATCATAAGCTTTGAATTAACCCTGCCAACGACCTAATAAAGTCTTAAGTTATTTGGCCACATTTTTATTTTGTTTTGTAAAATGTAAGTCTTCTCATCCTTCCTTGTCGCTAAAGCACAAGCTTCATAAAGTACTTCTTATGGAGATTCTCCCGATTGCCCAAATATGCGCCTTCCCTCCACAGAATCCCAGACACTTCCGCCCCTTTCAGAAGCGCCTTCCGCCCAACTCGCAGTGGCAGGAGCTACCGCCGTCACTTAGTCGCCAGTCAGGTCCCACCTACAGGTTGAGGTCGCTCGAGCAAGACTTTCACTGGAAGCCGAATAAAACTCACCATGAAGCAAGTCCCATTGGACGAAAAGCTGATCGTAGCATTCCTCGGGTAAAAAAATCGGCACCAGCACTCGCTTGAGTGGCCCGTCTGCCTCTGCCGCCATGTTGGAAAACCAGCTTCCGCCAGTCTCCGTAGCCCGCCATTATACAGTGCGCATGCGTGCTCAGGCACTCCGCCTCTCTATCCCTCGACGAAGCTGCACCGCCCCCTATTCCCGGCTCTTTCTCACGGCTTCAGCTTCAGCCGCGTAAAATAGGGCTAGTTCAGAGACCACGTTTCGGAGTGTTTTAAAGCGTGCGGGAGCTATACGCCTGCGCAGTTAGACCTTCCGTGTCTTTGTTTACGCTTCCAATTTGGAAGCAAGATTTATCACTGCCCACCCCCCGCCGCCGCAGACGCCATCTTGTCTTCTCCCTGCCAACTTTATATTGTTCAAAGTTAACAGGAAAGGAATGATTCTCCAAAATGGCGTTGGGCGGGGCGCTATACCTTTATATTCCCCTTTCTCTTTAGATCTCCACAGGCAATGGCGCCGGCAAGAGCAGGCCAGTCGGAGCCCCATGTTTCTCCGTCTTGTGGGCCGGGTCCCAGGGACCGCTGGGTCCGGTACAATAAAGAGGAAGGAGCATGGGGGCGAGGGGCGGGGGAAGAGCCTAGTTGGGAGAGGGCAACCCCTGAGCCACCATGCGAGGCTCTGAGGTGGCAGCCTTCAGGAAACCTAGCAAGGGACCTCCTTTGGGGATGGTCCGAGGGTGCACTATGTGCTGGGCAAGGATTTCAGCAAGAATGATTGGATCCAGCATCTGTCTGGGAAAGCGTATATTGGGACTACCCTTGCAGGGGCCCTGCTCTCTGCTACCCAGCACCCGGACGCTGGTTGATGCAGTTCTTTGCTTACCTACTCCTGGACACAATGACAGGGAATTTTTGCTTACGAGCCACTTGTACTACTTTGGAAGTGAAATTACATTCACTTACGCGTAGCTTTGGCTATCTGCTGTACCTGTAATTGTACATGAGGACCAGGAATAAGGCTGCCAAGATGGATGGCTCCACTGGGTTGTAGGCAAGGGTGGGCCAGTGGCCCCAAAATGGAGGAAGTAGTCTGGCAGATTGAATAACTGCTATGCCAGACTTGGAGAGATGAACCCATGGGCGGGGCATTTGATCACATTGGTATTTTCATCCCTCCTCACCAGCTTTTTTTTGGCTCCTTGCAGCTGAACCATGTAAAACACAAAGGCATGTGACAAAAAATTCATGGCTTTTAATCCTGGCAGAACAAGGCAAATGAAGGACAAAGATTTGAGTAGGTTTTACCACTCTCCTACTGGGGAGGAGAAGCCTGTCATGTGTAAAGAAACCTTTCTCAAAAAAAAAAAAAAGAAACCTTTCTCCCTTCCTTCCTCCTAATTGCATTATCTCTATTTTTGTTCTTCAAGAAAGACTGGGAAGGAAGATAACTTTGTGAGTTAGTTGCATGGTGAGGAAATGAGGGTGCTCTCTGGTGCCTTGAAGTCCGGGCAGATGTTCAGAGGGGCTGGTAGGTGGATGGGCGCCTTCGCAAAATGCAGAAGGCAACAAGCACCAGGGTGAGGAGGCCAAGCAGGATCAAACCAATGATGAGAGGCAGGAAGGTGAACTGGTCACTGGGGCAAGAGAAACCTGGTAGAAAAAGATAGGGCAAGTGGGCATTGCAAGGATGGCAGCTGGGATTAAAGGCAGAGGGGAACAGAAATTAAGTAGACTGGTGAGAAGCTCATCATAATGACTTGGAGCAGCAAGTAAAAGGGGGAATCAGGCAGAATTTTGAAGAAGGGAGGAGAGCTGCCCAATAGTCATGACAAACCCAGGAGAGGAAGGAAGTCTGGGGTTTAAGAAGGGAGGTTTGGGGCTGGGGGTGGTGGTGCATGCATGTAATCCCCAAAGCAGGGGAGGCTGAGACAGGAGAATCATGAGTACAAAGCCAGCCTCAGCAATGACGAGATGCTAAGCAACTCAGTGAGACTCTGTCTCTAAATAAAATACAAAATAGGGCTGGATATGTGGCTCAGTGGTTGAGTACCCCTTAGTTCAATCCCCAGTACCCCCCCCCCGAAAAAAAGGGGGGAGGGAGATTGGGCCTGGGGAAGGGGCTTCCAGTTCATGGGGCATATTCTAGGAGGGAAGGAGTAGGTAGGTCTTACTTGGTCCAAAGACCTCTGTATGGGGCAGCTGAGCAGCCTGTAGTCTCAGGGAGAGCAGGTCAAGGTGAAGAGCTGGAGAAAGAATGATGCTTGCATTTCTGCAACTGAAGCTCCGCCCCAGGGGTGCTTGGAGATCTTGAAGGGATGAATTCTGAGCTGAGAATGTCCACTCTGAGGGGTTGAGGAAAGGTCAGGTCCAATCTACTTTCCCAACCATAACTTAGTCTTTTAGGAAGTAGAGGGAGGTTTACTTACGTGCTGCCTGAGGAAAGGACACATTGTACTCCACAGCCATATAATTCAGGTAGACCATGCTCTGGCTCTGCTGCAAGTCCTAGGAGGTGAACAGGAAGGCTCAGGACAGCAGAGGAAGGAGTGAGGCAAGGGGTTTGTAGGGATGGCACAATGGGAGGGTGAGAGAAGGATGAGGATGAACTCATAGAACCATACCTGCTTGAATCCAAAGCTGAGCTGTCCGTAGGGAAATGAGAGAAACAGGTGGGGATGGGCTCCCTCACAGCCCCCTTGGACCTTGGTTTTGTTGGGGTTCAGTACAGAGACGCCCCAGGCCTGCGGAAGTTAGAGCAGAGAATCACAAGACTGTATGACTCTACCATCCGAGGCTCCCCATCCCCTCTACTTTTCCTTCTTTTCTCTGAACTTGTCTCCTGCTACTTGGCCCTCTCCTCACTGTTTTAGCTTTACCTTTCCTCCACTATGAGTTGGGTACAGGACTCGAATCTGAATCCAGGCTTGGAGCCGGACGCAGGGCTGGGAACCATTAGTCCACGTGTAGTCTCCTATAGCTTCCTGGGAGCTTGGACTAGGACTTGGAGAGGGTGGAGGTGGTCTTGGGTGAGGGGAGCTAGTGAGCCCAGGGCTGGTAGAAGTGCCATTGCTTGTTGTAGGATGAGTTGTGGCATTTCCAGGACTGGTGATGGTGGCAGGATTGTGAGTGGCAGTCGTGTGTCCAGGGCTGGTAGTACTGTTGCTTGTTGGATGAATTGTGGAATTTCCAGGACTGCTGGTGGTGGGTCCTTGAGTGGTTGTAGGGGTTGCTGTGCTTTCTGTAGCTGTAGGTGTCACCGTGAAGGACGGCAGCAGAGTGGCCGATTTTTTGTGAGGACAGTCATTGCCTGTTTCCTGGGCTTTCAGTAAAGAGACTAGTTAACAATCCAGGGGCAGGCTCCTTCCCAGGGACTCCTCCCTTCAGTTTCCCCGTTGTCCTTACCTGCTAGTAGCCCCAACAAAGCCAAGAAAAGTACAGCCAGCCTCATGGCAGAACTGCTTCACCCCAGGTCCAGCTAGGCTGTGCCAGCACCAGTTGTTCAACCCTATTCCCTTTGCCTTCTTGGAAGGAGGAAATGAAAGTCCCTTACTTCCTGTAACTAAGCTGACCCCACCCCCAACCTGACTCAGGCACCTCAGCTCCAGCCACCAATCTTAGTCATTAGTTTTCGAAATCAAGTTAGGGGATTATTGGCTCTTAGTCTAAGTAGGAGGTATCAGGGCAAAGTCAAAAGATGTCACGTGGGTAAAGATGGCACTCTGATGTCTCAGGGATCATCTACTATTTGGAGTTAAGTGGTTATAGGAGGACTAACCTAGAAGAGGTGGGCCCCTCCCCAATATTTAAGCGGAGAGCAAAAAACAGCTGGCTTTCACTCCCCTTTCCTCCATAGTTACTTCCTCTTAGCTGGGGTCATGTGAGCCACTTGTGACAGTGTACCCAACCCTTTAGAGGGTCACATCATAATGTGTTAACACTATCATTTTCAGTTGAGAAAATAGCTCTATTATTTGGCAGCTCTTAATAGGAAGGCAGCATAGTGTTATCAAATAAGGTAAGCATGGTGGGAAAGGGGAGCTGCACCACACCCAAGTTGCAGGTGGGAGAGGGAAGGGAAGAAATGAGAAGCCCAAACAGGCAGTTTCCAAGTCATTTTATTCAGAATTTTGTGTTTGTTTCCTGAATCAATAAATACTATACAAAACAATGTAAAAATGGCTACCATTTTCTCTCCCCTGCTCCTCCCACCTGGGGACAATCCCTTGGGCAACCTCACTTAGGGGTTCTCCTCGCAGATTTGGTCCAGCAAATGAGGTTGTGACGTTATAACCCCTTGAATCATTTGGGATTCAAGTGGGGTGGGAGAGCCTCTGGGATTTGGAGGTGACTAGGTTAGGGGCATGGATTAGTGTTTTCTGGGAGGAGACGGCGCCTGGGGCAAGAGCCTACCCCAAAGAAAAGGGTGTCTAAAATGTTCACGGTTCCTTCTTTTGCCTCAAAAAGTGACATTTATTCAAAGAAAAAAAAAAGAAAAAAAAAATGACAAGATGTCCATCCCTTGGCTCCCTTCCCTCCCCCTTCCAGCTGCTCCTTAGCCCCCAGGATTGAACCCTGGCTGGAGCTAGGTAGCAGGACAGCCCCTCAGATGAGGTCAGCAACATTAAGGGGCATCTCTTCAATGGAGGTGTTGTAGAAGGTCTCGATGTCTCGGAGAGTCCTCTTGTCTTCTTCTGTCACCATGTTAATAGCCACACCCTTACGGCCAAAACGCCCACCTCGACCAATTCTGGTGAAAAAATAATAATGGGAATGAAAAATAGGCCAAGGAGCACCAAAAGCTTTTAAGCACAGAAAGGGATAGAGATCTAGTCTAAGGAGTTAGGACAAATAATCCCAGATCTACACTTACCTGTGGATGTAGTTTTCCCTGTTGGTGGGAAGGTCATAGTTGATGACTAAAGAAACTTGCTGCACATCAATGCCTCTGGCCTATGTCAAGAAAGATGGCAAATTCAGCCTGTGAATTAAGGATATGATCCATCCAGAGGGACTTAAATATGCATGTAGGCAGCCAAAGGAAGGCAAAGAAATCAGGTATCCTCTGTCTCCCACAGACCTCAGGCATGCCAGGTCTTCTTCCAAGTTGCTACTTTCCTGAGAGGCACTAGTTGGCCCCGTGGAGAGGGAATCACCTTGGATCCTCCCCTTTCCGGTCTCTTTACTCACCAGTAAGTCAGTGGTAATCAATACTCTGCTAGAGCCAGACCGGAACTCCCTCATGATCACATCTCTTTCCTTTTGGTCCATGTCTCCATGCTAGAAAGCATACAGAAGGTTCTACATAGCAGGTAGGTAGGTACATGGGTTTTGGGAAAATTAGTATGGCACAGACAACAGGGCTGTCAAGGGAAAAAAACCCACCATGGCAGAGACAGTAAAATCTCGGGCATGCATCTTCTCAGTGAGCCAATCAACCTTCCTTCGTGTGTTGATGAAGATCACTGCCTGGGTAATGGTCAGGGTTTCATACAAGTCACACAGTGTGTCCAGCTTCCACTCCTGTAGGTAGGGAGAGAAATCAGTCAGGGGCTATACCCAACAACTTGCTATCAGGTCCGCCTCCTGCACCGGGCCCCACCTCTCGTTCAACGTTGATGTAGAACTGGCGGATACCCTCCAGGGTCAACTCTTCCTTCTTGACAAGAATTCGAATGGGGTCCCTCATGAACTTCTTGGTCACCTCAAGCACATCGGAAGGCATTGTAGCTGACAACAAAACCACCTAATGAGGGGAAAAAAGTCAGGACTAGGGATGGTGAGACCAGATTCTTCTATAGTTCCCCTGCCACATGACACTGGATTTTCTTTATGCCAACCACACTATAATTCTAGAAATAGGGGCTAGGGCTGTACCCCAGTAGTAGAGCACTTGCCTTGGATGTGGGAGGCACTGGGTTTGATCCTCAGCACCACATAAAAAAATACACAAATAAAATAAAGGTATGCTGTCCATTAAAAAAAAAATTCTAGAAATAATGACTAGGGTCTTTCTCACCTGGGTATTGCTGTTGAGCTTCTGGAATATGTCATAGATCTGGTCCTTGAATCCACGGCTTAACATTTCATCAGCTTCATCCAATACAAACATCTTAATGTATTTGGGAGCTAGAGTAGGAAAATACCAAGATACAATAATCAGAGAAATACAAAATACACTTAATTCTCTTGATAAAATAGGGAAGTAGCAGGCAGTCTGCTCTCAGAATACAAGGACTGATCCTTTGCCTGGGACCTCCCTGGAAGCCAGCCAGCAGCAGCCCTAGGAAGTAGAACACTACCTGGGCTAAGACAACAGGGAAGTCAGGCTCAGATGACACGCATGGGGTTCATCATGGAGCAACTCATTTAAAAGCAGCAGCAGCATCCTTGGTAATAAGACTTGGCTTAAGGGGAAAGCATGCAGAAAAGGGAAGGAACCAGGGGACAGGAACATAGTACTCACACAGGTATCTCCGGTTAAGCATATCAAACACGCGGCCAGGGGTACCCACAATGATATGGGGAGCTTCCATCTGCAACTTTTGCACCTCAGCACGCACATTGGTGCCCCCAATGCATGCATGACAGGAGGCACCCATGTAATCTCCTAATGCCATGACCACCTTTTGTATCTAAACCAGAGAAAGACAGATACTTACATATTAGCTCTAATTGTGCCAGCCACCCCCCCCCATTTTTCATGAGTTTCGTCTTCATTTCTTCCCAACAACTATTAAGTTTAATTTTGGGGTGAGAAACAGTTGTTAACCCTCTAAGATCACACTGCTCAATATTATAGAAACAATATCTGAACAGTTTCCTGAGTATACACTGATTCATAACAAAGCATGATTAAGTTTTTAAAGCTGGATGGTTACAACCCTTAACTTTCCTAACTCACAACCCATTGAATCCATCAACAGCCAGCTTTATGAACCACATGACTTCATGATACACATCTATGGTCTATTGCTAGAGAACCTAAACTAGGTGACATGTTCATTCTTAAAACAAGAAAAACAACAACAACAACAAAAAAAAAAACCTAACACCAAACCAGATAAAACAAAGTGTTGCCAAGTTGCCCAGGCTGGCTTTGACCTTGCAATCCTGCCTTAACTTTCTGAGTAGATGGGATTATAGATTATGTGCCAGCATTTACTAATTTCTTGTTTACATTATTTGTGCCCATAAGTTCACAGCAAAACAATCACTACATCTGCCAAAGAACATTTCAGAATTTACTCCTTGCACTCCAAGAAAACAGTCCAATTTAGGATCTTATGTGCCCTAGGCATGAAACAGCTCTGGCCACAACACAGGCATCAAGCTAGGATGAACAAAGGACTATCTTCTACTCTGCCCCTGACTGATATAAGAGTAACACCACTAGTGAGGTGTCTCTTTGCCCATTGCCAGGGGGTTTGTTCATAAAATAGCCACCAAACTTGCCCAGCTAGCTAAGTCCCACCCAGCAGCCTTTCTATCTGACTCAGGAAATGGGCGGGAGAAGTGGCGGTGTTTGTGTTGGAGGAGGAAACAACTTATAATTAATCCAACAAATCCTGAGAACTAGAAGCCATCAATCCATTTTCCCTACCCCAGAGCATGGGTCAGAGAATACAGAGTTTTGGATTATATATGCTATCTCTAAACCAGTCCTCCAGAGAGGGCAGGGAAGCCAAAGCCACACTTACCTGCTGAGCCAATTCTCGAGTGGGTGCCAGTACCAAAGCTTGGGTGGCCTTTAGATCTAATTCAATCTGCTGGAGAATTGATATGGCAAATGTAGCTGTTTTCCCAGTCCCAGATTGGGCCTGAGCAATCACATCATAACCTGTATAGACAAATCAGAATTAAATGTGTCAGAAGGCATACAATTTTGGCACATTTAAGACAATTAAGCCCCAGCTTCATGAGGTCAGTAAGCAACCAATAGTTAACAAACCAAAAATTAAGTGTTTTGCCAACTTCACCTCTCAAAAATCAGAAGACAAGGTCAAGGTACTAGTTAATTCTGGATTAAACCATACTAAACTAGACTATAGCTATAAAAACAATCACAATGGCAACTGTATGAAAGAAAACGCAGCCGTAGCCGTTCATGTGCCCTAGGCATGAAACAGGAAATGGGCAGGGACCAAAAGTCAAGGTGGGATCAACAAGGGATCGTTTTGCTCCACCTAATGAGATGATCACCACCAACTAGACTGATGCCATTCTACCCAGGTCAGGAGCAATCCAATCTATTCTGGGATTGAGAGATCTCACCCTTGATACAAGGAAGAATGGCTCGCTGCTGGATGGCAGAGGGCTTCTCAAAACCATAGGCGTAGATGCCACGGAGGAGGGACTCGGAGAGATTCATGTCATCAAAGCTGTCAACAATCTCATTCCAGTTACTCTGCAGAATGCAAAGAAATTAAAACTTAAAATAGTGAAATAGGTGAGTTTGGAACAAATAGAACCTGGCGTCTGCACCTAGACAACTCCCTCTCCCTCTAAGAAAGCCAGCTGGTTCTAGATAACTGAGAAATCACTAAAAAAAGCCAATTCACATGACATCACACAACTGCAATAATAGGGCTTGTGGAGAATTCAAAAGACACGTTTTATAATCACCCCCAGAAATGTTAAGTTTCCCTGCAAAGCCTATAAAGGAGTTTTAACTCTACCTTAGAGTGGGGCTTTGCTGTTTGTAAGCTAATAAACTTGGATAAATCCCAAGTTCTAGTCTAACTGAAACCCAAGTCCCTACTGGACTACCAGAAACTAGAGCAAACTGCAAGTGGCACTGCCTGAAGAGTAGAAGCAGCAGGTCGGTAGTCTCACCTCGATGACACCTTCAGGCTCCATTCCATCGGGGCCATTGTCTCTGGATCTGTTGATTTAAGGTATGAGTTTTGTCCCCTGCCTGACTGAAGCACTTCAGCAAGCAGCCATGCATGATGCCATCAGCTTTCATTCCAACTCCCACCCGTTCAAGACAATTAAAAAAAAAAAAAAAAAACGGACTCGGGCCTTTACCCCAGCCCGGCCGCCAACATAATGGGCTAATCCTCCTTTAAGACCCAGAGGGTGGAAGAAAGCTCGTCGCGCTTGCCGTGCCCGGATGAATTCCCTGCCATCGGGCCCACGTGTCCCGGGCCTGGCCGCTCAAAGCCCAAGCGCGTGCACCTCCCTCCGCACCTCCAGCGCGCCGGAAGTCCCGCCCTTCACCTCCTAGATCCGAGGGTAGGACATCCCCTTCTCCCCCACGTCACTCCGCCCGCGCCCTCCCCCACTCCCTTCAGCCGATGCCCCCCCTCGCAATGCCCGGATGTGGGAGGCCGCGGGCGGTGGCGGCCTCGCGCACAATGAGCCCCAGCCGAGCTAGCAAAGGGGGAGATTGCACAACACTTAGAAGCGAAGCAAACTGGGGGAGGGGAACCCCTCAGGCCGCCATGTGCTCGCTCCCTCGACCACCCAGCGGCGTCTCCACCCCCCATGGAACAATCCACATCCCGCCCGCCCCCGTCGCGAAATGGCGTCGCCCTCCCATACCTCAGGCCGCTCACCCCCGAAGGAAAGTGGACCTGCCCATCCGCAGTTTGCCAAATGCCCGGCTTGTGCGGCAAAATGGACCCGCCCGCCCGGCGCCGGGTGGGCTCCTGGTGCCTCACGCGGCCGCTCCTCGGGGTTAGGCTCAGTCCTGGCCGTCAAGAAAACCAGCACACTGAACGGCCGGTTTCTTCTTCCACGACCCACATTTCAGCCGCGACGGAGCGACTGTCTGAGGACCCAGGCACCCCCGCCTCTAGCGAGTGGTACCGTCAGAATCCTCCGGAACCCCCGCGCACGAGCCCTCCCCTGGCACAGTGAGGCAACCGGACCGGCCGGATCCGGGCCACGTAGTCGCGGTCGCCTCTGCCTTTTTCCCACGCTAGGTCGCGACCTCGTCTCGCCACTCAGCTACGGGGCTTCCCGCACGGCATCGCCTCGGATCGAGGACTCGTAATAAGCCTCACTCGCTCGGCCCTAGCCGGGTTCTCTTTCCCTCTGCCTCGGGCCTGATGGCAGCGTCGACCATGGATCTGCCCTCTTGCCCCCCGGATCAGTCCTCCCGGCTTGGTTTTCCCCGCAACCCTAGTGGGCCTGGGGCGGTGGGCCTCTCAGCTTCCCCCGGGCGGGGCCCTCGGAAGGGAACGGAAGGGTAAGTAGCCACAACTCTTGCAAATGCTTTTCTTACCGGGAATCCTGACTCGCAGACATGATCCTTAGAAACTAGGGCGGAGTGCCCGCCTATCGACAACTTATAGAGCGCCCGACCCCGCCCCAGCCATCGCATTGGCTTGGCCGCCTCGGCCCCGCCTGCCGGCGCTCTGCAACCCGGCGTGACGTTAGCTCGTAAGCGCTACGGCTCGAAGCCACCATTGGGTAGCTTCGGCGCCTATCAAGGTGAAGGCCCGCCCCGCAGTCTCATTGGCTAATGGGTCCGCTTTTCTCGCCGGCACGGAAGTGACATACAGTAGTCGGGCCTCGAGGCCTGGCAGCCATCTTGGGGCCCTGCACCCTTACACGTGCGGAGGTAATCGTGCCTTAGTCATGTGGTTCAGGAGGTCCTATCACGCAAGGGGGGCGAGGTCTCAGCCTCAAGGGACTTCCGGGCTCCCGGGACTGCCACTTCCTTTTACCTGTGCTCCCGGTTTCCACAGGACTCAAATTTTGTTTTCCCTGGCAGCAAGGATAGATCCGACACCGCCCAGGAGTGTTCTAAGTAATGGGGATGACAGAATCAGAAGCGATCCTAGGACTTGTGAGGATTCCCCTGGCTGGAGGGAGGAGGAGGGTTGGAACTATTTCTGGGCTTAAAGGCTTGTGGGGTAGCTGACATAAATCCTATCCAGCCTCCTCCTCAATCCCTTCGGCGTCCTCTTCCCCAGCTTCTGAGGCTCCCCCATTTTTTGCGGCTTACCTACTTTACCTTCTTTCTGCCCTCTGCACTCTGGTTGGGGGATTTGTTTGAGTGATGAAGATTGGGTGTTGGCACTGACTGAATCAGATATGGAGAGCTGGCTCCTGCAGTCTCAAGATGCCAAAAGGAATAGCTAACTGCACAGGTTGTAAGGAGTCCTGAGAGAGCATATCCTCTAGTTTGAGGCCCCTTAAGGAAGACCACCACTTATGTATCTCCAAAGGATCCTTTATTGACCAGAGCAGGACCGTGGCATTTATATATATATATATAAAAAGTTTTGAAGATCTGGCAGGCAGTAATCCCTTTGCCCGCCCACCACCCCCACACTGATTTCCTGCCCCCTTGGCATAGAAGGGGGAATGACTGCTCCACCCAAGCCACAAGGCAACACTCCCCTGCAGAGAGGGAGAAAAGGACTTTCCCCATGGCCACCCCCTGCCCATCAGAAATCAACAAGTATTCTCTCAAAAGAAAAAAAAATACAGAAATCAATTAAAACATTTAAATATGAAAAAACCAAAGGGAATTGGATGGGGAGAGGCAGGAAAGGAAAGGAACTGGAGTATCTTGGGGAGGGTCTCCCAGGTCCCTCTGCCCATTAACGGGCCCAGGGCCTGGGGTTCGAGGCTCACACAGTGAGTTTGCAGTGACACAGCTCCTTGTAGATCTGCCGACGAAGTTTGGGCATGTCCTGCTGGGTGAAGCTGAATGGCTGAGACAGGGCCAGGTGCTTGCAGTACTGGGTGTTAACAAAGCAGGCCATGAGAACCATCTACTGGGCATCCCTCCCAAGTCAGGACCTGTGCTACATATTTCATATGAGATCTCACTCAATTTTTTAGAGACTATACCCATTTCACATAAGAGGGAGCCAGACTCCCATGGTCTAGAGTTCAAAATCAGCCTGGCTCAGATGTTACTGTTCTTTGTACATAATATACCTAGCCTTTAAGTGGAATAAAACATTGAATCAGGGGCTGAGGAGGCAGCTGTACCAGGGCCTCAAGCAGCCCAGTTCTACTGTGGGATAGAGAGGACCAATAAAATCAGGGTTTCTGTGTTCTAACAAATAAGGCTATTCCCTGCTCTACAGCTGGCTGTGAGCCAAATGAGACAACAGCCTCCCAACCATTTAACCCAAATGACTTCAGAACTGGAAGAGAAGGAGGCCCCATCATCTGCTTACCTGTAACACAAAGGCGCCACAGTCACTGTCATTGTTCTGCCTGGCTACATTCTAGAAAATAAAAGGTAGACCTATTCACCTAGAGACTCCCAGGGGTATGACTTCAATTTCTGCCTCCTACCATTACCTTCATCATCACCCCATACCCCTCCCCATGGAAACTCACCATTTTGAAGTAACCTTTCCATCCCTGGTGGAAATCCAGTCGGTCTTTCTTAACCGCCTCTGCCTGTAGATACTTGGCAATATGCTATGTGGGTAGGAAAAAAGAATAGTGATGCCTCACACTTCCTAACTTAACCCAAGGTATGACAGTGGTAAATACCATGCCCAGGTTGCTCCTCAGAAACCCAAAGCCCACCATTTTTCCAGGAAAGCCTTGTCCCTATATTTTTCCCACCTTCCTCCTACCCCTTTCAAACCTTGGGGCAGCGGCGGTTTAGGGTACGCTGTGAGTCGAAATAGGTGATGGTGCGTTGCCTCACGTCAACAGAAATGAGGGACCAATGCACCTCCAGGTGGATGGGGATTAGCAGTAGCTCCTTATTGAAGATGTCCACCTGAGAGAGAGCAGCTGAGGTCAGGTAGAACACAAAAGGGTCCTGGTAATTGCCACAAGGGTTCTAAAGGGACATAAGGAGGACAAGTGAGAGAACACAATACCCAGGCCCTGCATTTTGAGGCAAGGCTCAACATCTGGACATTAGATTGTTTAGGTAAGAGAGGAAACCAGAAAAAAGGAGGCAAGGGCATGCACAGGACCCTGGGTTTGATCCCTAGCACTGGGGGAAGAAAAGTCTAATGTTATGGCATGTGCCACTACATAGTCCCAAAACATTGGGTCCCAAATACTAGAAAGGCAGTGGAATCTCTTGAACTGGGGAATTCAAGCCCAGCCTGAGTGATATAATGAGACCCCATCTCAAAATAAATAGGTAAGTATATAAAATAAAAATAAAATGCTGTAGAAATTTCCTCGCCTGTCAAATGTAGGGCAGAGAAACCCAAGAAGAAGAAAAATCTCAATTTCCTTCTCTTCCGATTTTCCCAGTTCACTTAGGCCAAGAATCTAAGAATTATCCTCCATTCCTCTATCTTCTTCATTTCCCACATCTGACCTGTCATAAAATTCTACTGGTTATACCTGTGAAACTTATTCTAGATGAAATTACTCTCAGTCTCTCCAACCAACCCCACCTCCACTTTTAGCACTCCCATCTAGCAACTTCTCCTGGACTACTGTGCTTCTCTCCTAGCTAGTCTGCCAGTTTCCACTTTTGCTCCCTTTTAATCTGTTACTAGAACCAGCCTGCTTAACTCCAATGGCTTCTTGGTACACGTAATGTACCTCATTAACCTATCCTACATGCCTTACATGATCTCTCTGACCCAATTTTTCTATCATTCTCCCTTTGTTCACTCTGCTCCAGTCAAATAGGCTACCCACACAGGCCCTGCGTTCCTCAACCATGTTGTTTCTCTTTGGGACTCATTTATATAAATGAAATAAAAGTTTTCCTCATTTAATACTGCATCCTTGGTGCCTATAACAGTTCCTGGCTCACGTAAGTATTTAATATTTGTAAGACTGAATGAACTTGGGAAAGGGCTCATAGAAAACCACTCTAATTTTTTAGAAGCAAAGCATTGTATAAGTAGTTATCAATTGATAACTTACATTTTTGGTCCACCTTTTCACCCCATCATAACCCTTGGTACGAAGTTTATCATAGAAGAAACTGTTGAAGAAATGCACCTGTGCCAATGACACATAGAGTTGGGTGAAATTAAAAGACCTGAGCCTACCACCAAGTTTCCCCTTCCTTCTTCTAGTCCACTCCATTTCATATGGCTCTAAAGATTGGTTCGAACAACCCCCACTTCAAATCCCTAAGAGTGAAAAAATGTTTTGTTTTGTTTTTTTTATATAGGTTCCCATTCCAATTCTTTTTGAGTTACCCATAAGGAAAAACATTAAAGGCTGGCAGAAAGGAAAAGAATTGGTAAGTCCAGAGCCAAGATTAGAGATTTGAAATGGATAACTTCTACCACTTTTTCCCCAGAAAACAGAAACCCTCTTTATATAAAATGGAAGAGATGAACTGAAAACTGCTTAGAATTGCCACTGTTCTGGGGACTAAACTATGTGGTTGGACCTACCTTTTCAGGAACTGTGTCCATGACCAGGTCTCCATACATGTTCATCACCTGGGAAGAAGATGAGAGGCAACTTGCCATGGAGGGTGTGGCTTGAGTACCAGGCTTCCCCACGCAGAGGGCCTCAGACACCCTTCTCCCAGAATCTCCACTCAGGCTGCCTCTCCACCACTTCTCACCTGGTCATTAAGCCAGTTCTGTCCATACAAGGTCCCCAAGTCATCCATGGTCAGCACATGCCGCTTATAGGACACTCGGAAGCCTCTCACCATGGCATTGCCTGGCATACGCTGGTATGACTGGATCAGCTGCAGTACCAGGCCCTTTCTGAGTAGGCCAAAGGTGGAATCACACAAGAGATGATGGAGTTGGGGCATACAGAAATACCTACTACTGCCTAGAATAAGAACCTAAAATGACTTTCTTTTTCTTGATCATGGATCCTTTGGAGGACCTGAAAGGGCCCATTCCCGAGAGATACATGAAATACATAATATTTCAGGGTCCCAGGTGAAGACCCTCCCAGTTGGCTTATAGGGACTTGACACCTTGCCTGCAGATTCCTCCCCTTCAGCTCTAGTTTCCTCCTCCCCAAGTACATACCTATGGGAGATAAAACAACAAGCATTCTATTCCTAACCCCTAGGTCCCAGCACTCCTTTAAAGAAAATCAGTCCCTCAAGCCTTACCTGGAAGGCGTGGAGAACTCCTGCTGGAAAATGTCCTCCAACTTCTCTACCACCTCATCAGTGCTGAGTGGGATGAGGCTGCCATAAGTTTGAAGGAATTCATCCAAGATGCCTGGATAGAGAAGAGAGGGAAGTGAGACTTTGCTCTAGGAGTTGACCAAGGGAAGGAGGCTAGGTCCACTAGGGCTTACTCTGGACACAGGTCACATGCTCCTCCCGCAAGGGACTATGCTGGCCAGCTTTCTCCCCGGGCCGCTCTGCTTCTTCCCCAGTGCTCAAATCAGGACCCTGAAAGAGCTCCTGAGCCACATGGTCCCCGATGCTGCACACATTGCTGATGAGGATGCTGGCATCAGGGGGTGCCAGGCTGCGCTCCCCTTCTGACCCAGGTGGTCCCCCAAAGCCATTAGGCAAAGTACACGAGAGGAGGCCTATAAGGCAGGGGAAATAGGATGGGGATGAGAAATTAGCCCAGCTGAAAGAATAATGGGAGGATTAACTAATGCACACAAACATAATTCCACAAAAAGGATGAATTAAAGCAGAATCTACCAATATAAGCCTCAAGGTAAGGAGACACCCCCCCACCCCCGCCAAAAAAAACCTAAAGCATAAAATAAGGATGTCCAAGAGGTTCTAATGAGAAAGCAGGAGTTCCTATTCGCAGATAGGAGGAAATCAAGAAAAGACTGGAATCAGAAATATAAATTTCAGGAATATGTTACTACTCTACACTTCGCATGTAGCCTATTGCCCAACCTATGATAATGGCTCAACAAATACTTGAGTCCTTAATAAAAGATGTTAAATTGTTTGGCTGGAGTTCTCTGGAGGTGAAGTATTCTGAGGAAGAATGTTACAGACAAACATAGAGATTATGTACTCCACTACCAGGAGGCGGTCCCATGCTACCACTATGTAAACAGTGTCCTCTGGAGATGTACATGCTGGAGTTCTGATTTGAAGTGGATAAGTTGCCTAAACCATAGCTCCCTTTCTCATCTGTACTTAAGACCACAGGACTCCAACTTAGGGGTTCTATTTCCCAGCATGATCAGTTAGTCTTATTTCCTGCTTAAAGTGAGGTTTAATGAAGATGTTTCTCAGCTATTTCAGACCCCTCACTCTGCTTTCCTTAGGCTTGATTCTCACCACAGCAAGTGTCTCCTGGTGCTCCAGCTGCTAGCCCTCCCCACTTCACCCCACCTCTTTCCCACCTTACCCGAGTCAGGGTCCAGAGGAGACTTTGGAGTCCACCTTAGTCCATCTTCCTCCATGGGGAGCCCAGAGGGCACTGGTGGAGACCCTCTTACCCCATCCTCAGCCATGAGAGCACCTAGCAGACCCAGCCGGGGCGGGGGTGGCCCCCGGGGGGAGTCAAAACGACAGCAGGGGGATGGCACCTGTGGCGTTGCACCCCCTTCCTGGGGTGAGAGATGGTTCTTGGGGTGTGTGAGGCTCCGCCGACGACCCCGGTGGCGCCCCCAAAGCTTCCAGTGGAATGTCAGCGAGGTGCTTTTTGAGTAGAGCAGCATCTGGAAGGCTCTCATGGCTCGGCGGCGGCGCTGTGAGCAGGTTTTTCGATGAGTGGGGCGGGGAGGACGAGGCCTTTGGGAGGCTCCTAGTTGACCCCATCTGGTGGGCAGCCTCCAAGCTGCCACTTCCTCTTCTTCATCTTCATCTTCTTCCTCCTCCTCTTCCTCCTCTTCACTAGCTGAAGCATCAAAAGAAGGCCGAGGGACAGGTAGGCGTCTGGCTGGCACTGTGGTCCCTGACCCAGGATCTGGCCCAAACCCTCCACCAGACTTGAGAGGGGGTTTAGGTGGTGGGGGCCAACGAAGACGCTCCCTCCTGGGGCTCGAATAAGCTGTGCCAGGTCTGGGAGGCTCAGGCCCCCAAGACCCGGTCCCTTGTATAGTCTCTTTCATGTTTCAGTACCCTGTAAAACAAAGGTTAGAGTATCAGAATCCAAACATCCTGCCCCTGATTCTTCTTCCTCAGCAAGCCCTTGGGATTCACATGCAAATAAATAGAGAAAAAATGTAAAACTCATAACTTTAGCTCTTCCTAGTTAATGTGATCCACAAAAAGGCCTTTAGAGTCTGAGCCATTATCTCTCCCTTACCCAGATGGAGGCAAGGGAAAATGGCTAAGCAGCAGGCCTAAGTGATCTTATTTCTCAGCTCTCTGGGTGAAACCCAGTATTTCCAGGCTCCACTCTCCATTTTAACATAACCAGGTGTTCTTTGAGAGCCTAATAAAGGTGAGCTTGCTAGTGGAGAATGTCCAATATAAGATCCCTCACATGGTGCAGAGGTATCTGGAGAGAATACAACTTTCACAGGTGAACTGCCCAGACTGGGAAGACAGTTCCCTCCCAGTCTGGAATTAATGCGGGGGAGTGGGGTGAGCACTCTCAGGTCATCTCAGGTGGGAATGGAGGCGCTAGGTATATGGCTCAGAGGTCAGAATCTGATGAAAGGGAAACAATTTTGAAGGAATCTAAAAGAAAACCGAATCGGTGTTTACGGTACCGAATCAAGGTACTGGGACAGAACCGAGCCACGTGAGCCAGGTCAGCCCAGCCCCCTCTCCTACCCCATCCCCGGGGACCAAAATGCGTCCCAGCACCGTAAGACTGGACAGCTAGGCTCACAGGGGCTGAAGACGCCCCGTCGAGGGCCTCTTGGCCCCTGTTCGGTAGGAGCGAGGCTCAGGAATGGGACGCCAAGGCAGGGCGGGGGGAGGGGAAGAGGCGTCCTCACCGGAGCGGGGAAGCCGGGCGGACGGGCCCGAGGGCGGGCGTCTCCGCCTCAGGCTTCCCGGCTCATCTTTCCGGCGCCGGCGGCGGCCCCGCCACTCCTGCTGTCCTCAGGCGCAGCCGTCTCAATTCAGGATTACAGGGTTTCAGGGCCGCGCACCGCGCGACCCCGCCGCGACCGCCTCTTGCTCGGCTTCAGCCTCTACCTCCTTCACCACCACCACCACCACCTCCTCCCCCCCCTCCTCCTCCTTCCCCTCCCGCGAGCCCCAGGCCCACCGGCGCTGGCGGCGCACAATTAGTACGTCACACCCGGCGAACGGCGCCGGCGCGGCCACCACGCGCCCAGTCCCGCCTCCACGCGCCCAGTCCCGCCTACCGGAGAACGTAGACGCCACGGGAGCGTCCCGCCCCCAGGCTCTACGCCAGGCTGCGCCTGCGCACACCCCCGTACCTGGCCGCGCGTGCCGGCCCCACAGCTCCGCTGTTTGCGCCTGCGTGTTGTGTCTCGATTCACGCCCTTTTGCGTTCGGCGCTCGTGGGCCTGAGCCTGGGGGACCCCAGACCCTTGTCCAGTGGGGCGCGTCAGGGCAGAGGCAGGAGGGCAGGGAGGTCCTGATACAGGGAGCGACTTGAGGCGAAATACTGGGGGACTTAATTCTTTTATTTTACTTTAGCGATTGTTGAATAAAAAGAGCTCAAAAGAATGAGGTGAACACCAGCCAGAGCGTACGACACATCCAAGGATCATCTGACCACCAGTCTAGCCTGCCACGCTAGGGGAATGGAGAGTATTAAAGGAATAACTTGGGACCCGACTGGGCGCGGTGGCGCACGCCTGTAGTCCTAGCGGCTGGAGAGGCTGAGGCAGGAGGCTCACAAGTTCGAGGTTAGCCTTAGCAAGTTAGGGAGGCCCTAGCCACTTAGCAATACTCTTTCAAAATGGAAATGAGCTGGGCATGTCGCTCAGTGGTAAAGCGCCTCTGGGTTCAGTCCCCAGTACCAAACAAAAAACTTGGGACCCTAAGTAATGTGGTCGCAAAAGGACCTTCGTCATCGGGCACGCCCTACAGACGGACGCATAATAGATACATCTCTGGAAATAGTGACGGAATGTGGGGCCCAATAGATGAAGTGAGAATGAAGTTTCTCATAGAGTTTCTTCAGAGGGTACCTGAAGAGGGGTGTGGCATTAGGAACTGAGATTTTCCCTGGATGAGGGAGGTTTAGTGGACTTGTGCCAGCAGGCAGAATGATTCCCTCAAACTGCCGCTAGATGGTAGTGCTGTTCTGGATGCATTCCAGAGGACCCACAGCACGTTTGGACAATGCCTGGCATCCACCTCCCAACCCCCCTACACACACACACACACACACACACACACACACACAAGAATTTGGGGCGGATGGGAGATGAAAGCAAGATATTCTGCCTCTTTAATATCCGTTAAGTAAAAATCTAGGATTGGGAGTGAAGAATGAGTGGACTGAGTGATGAAGTCAGACCCAAGTAGAGGCTTCTGTTTCTGCCCATTCCCCATCTTTTGTCTAGCCAGCTCTTGGCTGTCTCCAATGTGTACCCCCACTGGTCTTCCCATTTCAGAAGCACCTTTTGTAACAATCATAGTTTCACAAACCCTAGGAAGGTTCCATGTGGAGAGAGACTAAGTTTCGCCTTTGCCCGGGGAATTAGGACACTGAGAATATCCCCTTGGTGTAAATGGAAGACACCTGAGAAAAGGAGAAAACAGATGCTCAATGAAGCACAGCCATCCACATACTCTGATGTTTCACCCTGCCTTCTCCAGCTCCACCTTTTCTATGCTTCCTCTAAGGACCTAGGCATTCAGTCCTTCATTCCTCAAATCTACCTCTACACCCAGGCTTCCACTGTCTAGTTCAGCGATGTCCTCTGCTCACATCCGACTTCCACTGCTTATATGATTCTCACCTGCACTATAGCAGCTATTGTAGGCCCGGTCAGGGTCCGAAGGCATACTGCATATACATCGGAATAGAATTTCCTGTCTTCCCTGGCCCTCCCGAGACACCACCTGACCCATGGTGAAAGTCACATCATGAAACAGGACCTGGCAGGGAAGAGAGAAGATGTTGAAGAAAACCAGGATGGTATGACCATTCTGAGACAGCTCTGGAGCCCTCACAGGAGCTAGGAAATGAATAAGGGTCTCCCAAGTTTGGTATGAACAGAAGGATCAGGAACCCTCAGTATGGGGTATACAGGCTTTGGGAGAAGAGTAAAGAGATAGCCTCCAGGCCCCCATGTGGAGTTCAGGGTATGCCTGGAGTTACCTGGCTGTACAGCAGATAAACTCCAGCGTCCCAGACTCGCACAACGTATCCTTGGGCCTCCAGGCCTCTCCCACGCCTAAGGGCTGGTTGCCACATCACCTCTGTCACATCAGAGTCCTCTGGAGGTGAGGAGTGTGGCTGTCAGGATTTCTTTACACCCTAGACATTTATCATCTCTCATCTTTTCACCTCTAAGATTCTCTTGGGCCCAGATACCAAAATTCCTTGCTTGTGCCTCTCCCCAAAGTCATTATTTAAAATAATGCTCACCTTTGGAGGTGATGTTAATGGGAACAAGATGCAGAACTGAACGCCTCTCTGAGAAGAGAAGGAGGAAATCTCAGTTGGATTGTCTACCTCAGGTGCCCTGATGTCTGCCCTCCACCCTCATTTAGCTCAGGTTAAATATATATATATATATATATATATATATATATATATATATATATATAAAAATCTGATCCCCACATTACAAGATCACCTCCCACCCCTGCTGTGCCCAGGGCTCACTCTTCCGCTTCTGGGTAAGCACTGCTCTCCTTCTCCGAGATCTCTCCCCACTCGCCCAGGCTTCCAGGGCTTCAGGGCTCTGCTTATAGAAAGAGGGTCAAGGTAAGACTAAGATGCAACGACCCCAGACAGCCTTCCTTCTCAGTTCTCCTCCAAACTAGGAATGCTTCAAATCCCTCATGCACCTTTCCCCAGCACCCTGCGTCTTGGTGCTGGCTGCCCTCCAGGATCTGTTAGGTACAAGAAGCATTAATCTTTAACAGTTTCTTTTTCTGGAATGGCCGCTCCCTTGACTTCCAAACCTGGGACCCTCTCTTACACCTATTTGAAACTTTGCAGACCATAGCTCAGAGACCTAGAGACCCCCTGACACCCATTCTTCTCTCCCGGACTCTCATTTCCCCTCACTCACCTGCTCTCGGAGGCTGTGCCAGGGATACCCTTCTTCCTTCTGTGAGGGACCTCCGTTTCTCTGTAGCCGGCTCACCTCCCTCCTTAGGCTTTGCAGCTCTGTTTGTTGGGTCAGCAGAGCAATGGCACAAGCCACAGCCCCCAGAGCTGCCCCCCAACTCAACCAGAGTGAAACCGAGAGTGCCGGCTCTCGGACTGGGCCCCCCATGTCGCCCGAGGGCCCTTTGGGGGCTAGCAAGAAAGGAGACGAGGCTGGCATGAGCCCAGGACCCTGCTAACAGCTGTGTCTTTAGGAATGGAGGGGCAAGGAGGTGGCAGGGAGGGTGGGGGTACAGGCAGTGGTGCAGAAGGGAAGAGGGTGTTACGCAAGGGAGAAATAAAAAGGAACTTGAGAATAAAAAGGAGGGAGGAGGAAAGCAAGCTAGGGGTAATCTAGGTGCTCCTGGCACCCCTCTGTAGGGCTAGTGTCTCCTTGAGACCCGCCCCCCAGCCTCAGGAGAATTTGGTGCCAGTCTCTCTAGGAAGGACGGGGCTGCCAGTGACACCCAGGAGGAGCGGCCAGAGCTCAGGAACCCAGGGGCGGCCCCAGTGTTGGGGGAGGGAAGGCTGGCTGGCCATGGGGCATGGTGCCAGGCTCAGGATGGGGGACAAGCTGGGCAGTGTTGAGGACCAGGGGATGAGGACAGAAGACCCTCTGGCTCAGGCATGCGAGAGACCACTGGGGAAGTTTTCTAGGGGCAATTGAAGGTGAGAAAAGGAGGTGGGAGTCGCTGGAGAAGAGAACCAGGAATAAGAAACTGGCTGGGTGCTGGGGTTAAGGCCGGGCCGGGTGTGTTGGAATAAGGCCTGCACTACTCCCTGTGCTGAACTTGGCAAGCAGGACTTCCTGTTTCCCAAGAAAAGCTCTTACATAAGGCTCTGGATAGAGACAAAGAAGCGGCCCTAAGCCCCCCAGCCACTGCAGAACTCCTCCCCAGGACCCCAGGAGCCCATGTTTTCTTGTGCCTGGTCCCCGGCATCCCATCTATGGATTCAGAGACCCCTCCAAGCCAGCTCCCACCCCATCTCCCAGCCAGGGCATGTGCCAGCACCTGCTGTATGTCCTAAGGCCGCCAAGAGGAAGGGCCCCTGCTCCTCCCTGCCAGGGATTCCCCCGCAGGAGGAAGTCCGCCTCCTAGGGAAATGAGGCTGCTTCTGCAATACCTGAGCGGAGGACAGGTTTTTTTCTTGAGCAGTGCACATTTCTGCTTTCTTCTGACAACTGTGGGCTGGAGGAATGCAGGTCCCTGCTCCCCAGTGCTCAGACTCCCTCCCCATGACTCTCCACTACCGTGGGTCCCAGTAAAGAGAGAGACCATGACTTGTTCTCTTTAATATCCACTTATCAATATTTTGTTACAATAATAATAAAAATAATATCTGTTTTCAAAATCCACAGGGAATTATCAAGGGAGGAGCTTGTCTTGGGCTCTTACCCCTCACATTTGGGAACTCCTGGCCTAATCCCAGGTTTTTTTGCTTCCTGCCACCAGGTCCAGCCTCTCTTAGTGCCTGAAAGCAGGGTCTTCTGGACCCCTCCTTGCCCATCCTTGCCAGAAAACACAGTGTCCTGGGGGGGCTGTGGCTAGGGGGGAATCAAGGGATGAATGGGAATGGGAGTGTGAAAAGATAAGGGCTTTGGGAGCTAGTGAGGTGAAGAGCAGGGAGGGGCGTTGTAAGAGAGGAATGGGAATGTTTATGAGGGATAAAGTGAATAAGCCCTGGCAGCCTATGGAGGGAAAGGCAGGTCTGGAGCTTAGGTGGGGCAGAAGAGACTAGGCACTGAGAGAGCTGCATGGGGAGCTGGCGGCTGGAAAATTTGCAGGGCCCCTCAGTGAACCTGGAAGAGTCCAAAGTAGGTGAGGAAGGGAGCAGCCTTGAGATGGGCCCAGGGGAGGGTGCGGATCCTCAGGGAAGATCCTGACCGCAGGGGCAATAGCCCAGACACCTGGCAGAGATGAAGCTGGGGCCCAAGGGAACTCGTTGCTGTGGCAGAGAACTCCTCTAGGCAGCGCAGGGCCAGCACGTCATCCACCAGCAAGTCCAGCTTCAGGTAGACAGCCTTCCCCTCATCAAAGTGCACCTGCGGTGGGAGAGGGCAGGCAGAGTCTAGGCCTCTGCTTGCCCTCGCCTCAGTTTCAAATATCCTTAGAGACCCAAGTATCCCATTTTTCCAAAACCCCAAACTCTCCCTTCCCAGCCTTGATCTTGACCTCTTTGTTTCCCCGCAAACCAAGCCCTTCTCCCCTCAGTTTCTCCTTTACCCATGTAGCCAGGTGGGTCTTACCTGACAGTATAGGTAGTAGAGCCCAGCCCTGGTGACTCTAAATTCCCCAATCTGACGGTCATAGCGCAGAGGGTTGGAGCTGTTGATTTTGGCTTCCTCCCAGCCACTCACCGTCCCATCCACACCTGAACATGGATGTTCAAAGATAAGGAAAAGTCCCTTTACAGGACTCCCACACATTCCCCAAGGATCCATTAAGCTAATAAACATTTGGGGCCCACCTTAATCCAGAAGAGAGATCAACTGCCCAAGGTATGGGAGGAGCCATGACCTATGCAGCCCAAAGTAAAATTGGACATTGTGTGAAGAAATCTAACATATATGACCAGGAAGATTCAGGACAAAATTGTCACCCGATTGTTTCTGGGGAGCAGAGTAGGATTTAAGGAAAAATGAGGGCTTTTGCATTTTCTTCACCTGTGTCTATATTGTTTGCCTCTTTTATGTTGAATATGTGTACATACATTACTTGAATCATTATAATTAAAAAGAAAAAAATGACATCCCAATGTTCATAACCTGTATGAATAAAATGTGGTTTATTCATACAATGGAATATTATTCAACCATAAAAGGAATAAAGTATTGGTGTATGCTATCATGTGGCTGAACATTGAAAACATTATGCTAAGTGAAAGAAGCCAGTCCCAAAAGGACCACATATTTTATGATCCCATTTATAGGAAGTGTCCATAACAGACGAATCTAGAGAGATAGAAAGTCAATTACTGGTTGCTTAACCCCAGCAAATTGGAAGGCTGAGGCAGGAGGATCACATATTCAAGGCCAACCTCAGCAACTTCACAAGGCCCTAAGCAATTTAGTAAGACCCTGTCTCAAGAGAAAAATAAAAAGGGCTGGTGATGTAGCTCAGTGGTAAATGGCCAGTATCAAAAAAAAAAAAGCCCCATCCCTGCCTCCATTAATCTCTTCCCTCTTCTCTTTCTTTCCTAGCAGTCATCAACAAGCGAATATATCTCATTTATTCATCATTCATTCATGTGTTTGTTTGGAATCTGACTACCCCATGAGAGCAAGGATGATTATCTTTTTTTTTTTTTCTGCAATACTGGGGTGATAAAACCCAGGGCTGCCCATAAATCAAGTGCTCTAGGACTGAACTACATCCTTGGCCCTTTCTTTTTCTTTCTTTTCTTTTAGTTGTAGATAGACACAATACCTCTATTTTATTTATTTATCTTTTATGTGATGCTAAGGACCAAACCCAGTGCCTAACACATGCTAGGTGAGCACTCCACCGACCACTGAGCCACAGCCACAGCCCTTTCTAAAGATTTTGTTTTGAGGCAGGGATTCATTAAGTTGTTGAGGTTGGCCTCTGGGGAATACAGGCATGCTCCATGGTGCCTGGCTTCACATTACCTTTCTTTCTTTTTAAAATATTTTTTAGTTATTGATGTACCTTTATTTTTTATTTATTTATATGTGGTACTGAGGATCAAACCTAGTGCCTCATACATGCTAAGGCAAGTGCTCTGCCACTGAGCCACAACCACAGCCCCTTCATATTACCTTTCTTTCTTTTTTTAAACATGGAGGGTATTTTTTTTAACCACCAACAATGAACAAAAAATAAAATTCACTCACTCTGTGCTGTTTCAAAATTTCAGTGTTAGTTTTGTATGCCCTCCCCCCACCAGCCCTGTTGGTAAGAAACTAAAACATTACACCTGGTGAACAGGAAAGATTCACTACGCCTCAAATGTAGAACACCTATGAAACAGAGGAATGTTGGGTTTTTATACAGAAGCACATAAAAAAAAAAAAAAGATGCAGGACCCTTCAGTTCTTCACTATTCTTAGAAAAACTTTCCAGAATACTGCTTCACACAAATTCACCATTAGTTTCCGTGTTGGGGAAGGTTTCCTTTGGCTGTTCAGCTTCCATTTTCTTGTATTAAGTGGACAATTGAGTGAATCTGCCATCCCCTCATGGACCTGAGGCCTTAGCTGGTCACAGCACAACTCTCCCGCCTTCTTGCACCCTCCCACTTCACATTACTTTCAATGGCCTACCTGAGAATGACTTCCAAACTCCTTTGTGACCTGGCTTCGTCTTCCGCAGCCTCATAACCCACCCTGTTCTCTAGCACTTTCTGCTTCAGCCACACTGAACTTCTTACAGCCCCCAGCCTATCAGACCCTTGGCAAACTCCAGGCTTTCACATGGTGATTCCTTTGCCTGCCACACCCTGATCCTTGGCCACCTTACACTCAGGTTTCAAAGCCCAGTGATGCCTCACTGTCATAGGGAAGGAGTCCCTGGTTCCACTCTGAAGTTGTTTTGTCTTCCTCTATCCTGCCATGGATCTTTGTCTACTCTGAGTGTTGTCCTTGTCACATGGCACTGTAATTACATATTTATATGCTGTCTCCTGTCCTAGACAGTGACTTCTTGAGCACAGGTGTGGGTGTGATTTGCTAGGGTCACCTAGGCTGGTCCCTAGCAAATAGCAGGTTCTTAGTGCGTGTGTGTTCAGTCAATGAATGAATGGATGTCTTGGGTAACTGCCAAAATAAGTGAACTATACTGAGAGGTGGAGGGCTGGCCGGGCCATGAAGAAGAGGGAGGGGAGAAAAGGAGGGAAGGAATCCCAACTATGGAACCAGCTTGAGCAAAGGCTGGTTGTAACCAAAGGGCAGAGTGTGTTTGAAACTATGGTCACACAAAAACTTCAAATGGATATTCTGTGCTGCCTGGCCACCCACTTGCCCCCACCAAGCAGGCTTTCGTTTTCCCAAAGACAATGATTTGGTACCGTCTCTCCTCAAACCCCCTGTCCCTATCTCCCTAGTTCTCTGAAGGACCTAGAAGTCCTCAGACAAGGGCTCTCTCACCCCCCACACCAACAAAATCTATAAACCTACCTGTTCTCTCAGATTCCTTAGACCCCCTTGTGATGGTGGAAGATGTGTCCTCTCTTCCTGATGGAAAGCATACCCTCCCAATGTCTCTTGGACATTGCCCCTGCAGGATCCCCAACCCTCACCCCAGCAAGTATACCTCTCATGTGGACCATGTCCAGCACATGAGCACACTCTAGCTGGCTTCACAGCCTGCTTCTTCCTAATATCATTGTGACCTTGGACAAGCTGTATAATCTCCATCTTTAAATAGAGGTTACCAGAACATCCTTCTTTTAGGGCTATTATGAAGATCAGACAGAATCAAATAAATGAGAGCTAGTCATAGTCCAAAACGCACTCAATAAAACTAAGAGGAATACAGTATTGCTTAAAATGACTAAATTTTTCTGATGCACACTTCCCTGCATCTAGTGGTTCATTTCTCTGCTCTTTGTCCTAGAGAAACTTCTAAAAAGGATTGCCACTATCTCAATTTTTTTTATTTTTTTATTTTCTTGACTCAACCCATAGGGGCCTCTATTCTAACTCCACCACCAAAACCTCCGTCATCAAGGTCACCAGTCATCAAGGTCACCAGTCGTCTTTAATGTTACCAAACCCAGCAGTCATTTCTCTGTTCTCATCTCATGTGATGCATCAGCTGCTTCTGTACAGCCGGCCACATCCTCCTTCTTAAATCAGAGTCTTCTCTTAGATTACAGGACACCACCCTCCCTGAGTTTCTTCCTCTATGTCTGCTTCTCAATCTCAGCCCAGCTTCCCTCCTTCGCCCTATGTCCAGATGGCCTGGGGCCTTAGGGCTTCTTTCTTTCCCTGGGTGTCTTATTCAGTTCTGTAGCTTATGGTCATTACCTTTTTTTTTTTTTTAAATCCAGGGGCACTTTACCACTGAGTTACAAAGCCCTTTTGACTTTTTATTTTGAAGCAGGGTCTCACTAAATTGCTGAGACTAACCTCAACTTTACAATCCTCCTGTCTCAGCCTCTTGAATCACTGGGATGGTGGGTATATACTCAACTCCCATGAGACCCACAAAC